CCAAGTTCCTTTTTAAAGCCGCTATTTGGGTCACTGTCTTGGAGTTGCCTTAAGTTAACTCCAAGAACTGGAACTAGTAAGTTTGCTGAAGGATGTTCGTGTGTTCATACAATGTTTTAATAAGTTGAGGAAGTTCGCTTTTGCTTTATACAGAGAGGATGTGAACTGTTTGTTTTATTTGATGCAACTTTATAATAATATTTATGTTATTGTTTTCTTCAATTGTTTATGGACAAGGTTTTGTGAGTCACTGTAAGGTTCTAAAACGTCTCAATAGGACTGACAACGTCGCGTGGTAAATGTAACTTTGATTTAGAGTAAGTGTAAGAATATGCTTTGAACTGGTAGCAATCGTAGTATGGTGTAGCTCTTTCCTGCTTTATTTACCAAGGTAAGTATTTAATACAGAACGCCATTAGGTATGTCAGGAAGTACTCCAGGTACTTTAGAATTTCTAGCGCTGCCTCGTGATTTGTAGCCGAGAAGTTTCTGGAAAATGGTTGGGGCACGTGTGGTTCTACCGAAGAACGCTTGGCACGGGCTCGCTAGCTCGGTCCGGAACCATGTCAGAAATTTGGAAATTTGAAAAGAATGGAATTTAATTTGGAAAATTTATTGAGATAAATGAGGGCCATGAAAACTTTAGTAAGCCTAATGAAAGACAGATAGTGAATTTAATGTCAGCAAGTCTAAAAGCAATTAATGTAGGTAGATAATTTTAAGAAGCAGTATAGAAGCTAGGTATAACCTGAAAAGGATGGCTACACAATAAAAAGATTTGGTCTAATTAATAGGAGAGACAAATGTATCATCAGTTGTGATAAATCATAGTTATTAATAGAAACGTAAGTAATTTCCTTGAGTACCTCATAAATAACAAGTATCAAAGTAAACAAAAGCATAAAAGCCTAAAACTTGTGTTTATTCATCGTAACGTTATGACTTATCTCTCATAAAACGAGTTGGCGTCTAATTTGGACAAGTTTACGGGCCAATGAGTCTGATTCATTAGCGACTCTACGCGTTCTTTGTCTTCGTGCACGAGAGAGTCGAAGGATCGCAACATCGGGCATCAATCAACGAAGAACAAAGGCACCCATCGAGAGGTCGCATCGTTAGCAACAACTTTCTTAATGTTACTTCTTTGCTAGTTTGTGTACTTAAGATTCAAAATGGTTTTTGCCAAATAAAACATTTGGATTATTTAAGTTTTTGTCGTTAAACTTTTAGTTTTAAAACTGGCCATTTTAATTGGGTGCTCTTATTTGCAATAAACTTATGGCATGAGTGGAAATGCGTTTTGCAAATGATGAAAACCCCGTTCATGCAGTTTCATAAGTTATAAATGTTTTGACAAATGTTCTGTCGGTCGGAAAATTGCGATTTTCTTTCCTGTATTTCACAATTTGATTTCATTTTTTCTAGCAATTTCTCTGCCAAACCAAACAAACCATCCACTATATCACAATACAATACGATTCATTTCATCAGCACAGATACGAAATCGCCGATACAGCCGACAGTGAGCGAGCAACGTCAATGTCTTGAAGTGCTGTCGATGCGTCGATCAATCATACGAGAACAAAAAGAGGTGTCGATAGGGCATCGCAGTCGCTTCACTTTGTCATCCACTGACGTACGCTCACATATTGGCGTACAAAGACCTTTATCGTGAATAGTGTTGTGCGAATTGGAACGAAATGGACGCTCTATTTAACATCTTTATTTATTAAAGAGGTCGTAAAGAGGTGTTAATGGGGCATCGCAGTCGCTTCACATTGTCATCCAGTGACGTACGCTCACATATTGGCGCACAAAGACCTCTATCGTGAATAGTTTTGTGCGAATTGGAATGAAATGATAGAGCACCCATTTTGTTCCAATTTGCACCATAACATCTTAGTTTATTAAAGAGCATTGCAGTAGACTTTTAACCGCCTCTGTTGTCTAGTGGTAAGACCACCTGCTTTAGACGCAGAGGTCCCGGGTTCGATTCCCAGTGGGGGCAGATTTTTCTGTTGGTTTTGGTTGGTGGTAGGGCTTGTTCTAAGTCCGCCTGGCTAGCTACCACCAATACCATCTTACCTAAGTCTGTCACCATAACAACAAAGTTAACAGCATTGTTGTGTTCCGGTAGTTAGAGGTAAGATAGCCAGTTCCTCCATGGTTGAGGATTCCGGGTGAAGCTCGCTTCCACCTTCGGCCTGATCATCACTTACCATCAGGTGAGACACAGGCCAAGAGCTTCCTCGTTGTGGATAAAAAAAAAGACTTTACTTTCTTATCGAGTGTACGTTAAGTTTGTTCTATGTTTGCTACTAACATAATATTTTTAGCACAGAATACAAAAAGGAGTGTCGATAGGTCATCGCAGTCGCTTCACTTAGTCATCGAGGGTGACGTACTTTTATGCTCACATATTGGCGTACCAAGACCTCTCATCTATTGTGTGTGAATAGTGTTATGCGATTTGGAGATAGAACAAAATGGATGCTCTATATTTTGTCATTAACGTCAGTTTACTAAAGATGTGAGGTTTCCAATTCCATTGTGGATGCCTAAGTTCAGTGGTCTCAGAAATTACCGATCTGATTCATACTATATTAAGTATTATTAATTCATGTACTTACTCTTACTTAGATACCTAATAGGCGTTTTGTATTCGAATATGAGATTTTAAGATGTCTGGGACACGCACGAATTCTAATTTATTTTTCATATAAAAGTAGTGCCTGCCTTTTTTTATTAAATTTTCGATTTACGACTCAACGTAGAATAGTGGGCGTACTCATAAATTTATACAATAAGGGAAGAAAAAAGGTAGACTTTGAAATTGGGTTTAGTTGGAGAATGAAGCAAATAACTTTTATTAAGATTAAAATATGTAAGTAAATATTATGAGAAGATATTAATAGGCTAAAAAAATTTAGTGTGAGGTTTATTTATGCCAACCTCAAAACGCGCGTTTGCGATTTTTAATGTCGATATTAACTGGACTAAAGTGTAAAATATTGATATAATTTGTACAATAAAAAGAACATGGGTATCATGGATCCCGTAGATAGATAAGTATGTTTATTGACGTAGAATACACATTATAGTTACATAAATTATATTTTTTCAGATATTGTACAAAAGCCTATAATTTCGGTGGCGCTAACTCGTCGTGAACAATGAACCAATTAAAACGCAGCGGCTTTGTAAACAAATATACGGCCTCGTTAAATTTCTGACAAATTAAAGACAAACACTGACGCTTTATCACAGTTTCGATGCCGTTTACTGAACTAAATAGGTTGTTTTGAATGCTAGGAATAACTGAATCGCATTTATGTAATTTGCATATAGTGTAAGGGCGAATTTCCAAGATCTTTAAATGGTTCATTACTCTATTAGTTACTGTTATTTAGGTAATTATGTTCAATAAATCATTGAATCGCTAAAATAAATATGCAGTGACCGGGGCACATAGCTCGCAGAGCTGATGGGCGCTGGAGCAGAAAAGTTCTCGAGAAAAAAAAATACAGCGACAAATGGAACATACTTGTATTTCGAATTTCACAGTGGCATAACATACTTAAACCATAGCTATACTCAATATAATAAATCTAACAACGGTAGGAAGCTACAGGATAGTACAGTATATTTTTACTATCCGTTACACAAAATCTTTTATAAAAAATCTGTATGTTGGTTATCGAGTTACCGTTTACAAATTTTGTGGCAAAGGAAACAGGTTTCAAGTTTGAATTTTAAACCACCACTTTTTAGTATTTAAAAACTATGTAAAAATTCCCGCACAACTTCAATATTCGTTCCAAGCGTTTTATAAATACGTATCTACAGCCGGTAATCAATTTGGAGTTCCGATAAATTCTTCATTGTTAGTGGCATGCACTATGAAAGCGGGGTATTACTCGATATCGATGCAAGGGTACAAGTCGATCCGGAATTTAATCTCCTTGAAAGGCTCCGACTATGCCGTTTATTATAGTTTGTTCGATTTCTTATGGTTAGGAAATTGACTTGAACGGTGGGACTGTCAGGAATTTGGGTTGGGGTGGAACTGAAGGGAATTGAATAGGCAAATTGGAAGGGGTTTAAATAGCCGACTATTTTCGGATATGGCGCGATTTCGTCTTGTTATGCGATTCAGCTTTTATAAACCACTGAGGAATTTGGGGAGTGCTTTAGGATCGATGAGTGCGTGCATCTGTGATCTGTGAGAATGGAACTTCCAAAAGACAGAACCTATTTTGATACTTACAAGATTTTAAATATCATTTTGAAATTACCTACTGTTAGGTTGTAGATATTATGCGAAGAGCGATAGAACCATACCTAGCATAGCTAGCCTTTTATGTGCACGGTGCGAACTTCTATAAATGTGCTTGGGAAAAAACATATTTTACATACTGAAGTTCTATGTTTCAGCAATCATTTCAAATAGGTACTTTTTTGAAACAGGTTCTCTCATAATTTTGTTAGAAAACTTATAATAACATAATACATTTTACCAGGTATTGGCCGTGCAGTTTGCATAAGTAACACAATTATTAAAATTCGTTTGAAACGAGCTTTGCTCATTAACCCGGCTGGTAATTCCGATAATATATTTCGCTGAATTCCCAACTTGTGCTGTTTCAAACTATTATTTTGTTAATTATATTGTACTTCACTAATTCTGTGTTCATCGGCTGCATAATTGTTCGGTGGTTTGTTTGCTGATAGGTTTGAAAAATGCAGGTTTGCTTAATTATACGTTATTTCAACGATAATTAGTCTAAATGGGCAAAGCTTATGGCGGTATAGAATAAAATCAAGAGGATTCCACTTGAAGTTTCGATCGTTATCATAATGGAACTAAATGAAACTGTTACGCGCAATCGATTTAAAACTCTCCTTAAATGTTCCATTTTGGTCTGATAGTGTTCTTTTGTTTTGGTGGAAAACTACACACATAATTCATTCAGTACTCACTACATTCTTCACAACCATATCTGCACTACAGCTCACAAATCCCAAATGCATACCTGAAACAAAAACACGTAGGTTAAATAAATCTGCTGACTTTACTTCACGTACGTCTCACAACAGGGGATGCAAAGTTAGAAAATTATGTTGGAACGTCAAAGCCGAACCTCGACTAGGTAAACATTTACATATGGCAACAAGCCTGGCTTAGACAAGGAAGCTGTGCTGAAGAAACAAAAGGCAAAACATTGCAAATGGAGACGAGGGTTGGCAACCGATGGAAGAGGCGTCAATATTCATGAAGATCGATCTTCTTTTGTTTTTGAGTATGACTGAGTCCACAAGTTACGTCATAAGGCATCTGAAATTATATGATAAGACCGATAGTAAGCAGTTATAGAGTCGCCCGAAACTTCGATTATAAACTCATAATCATAATCTTTCTTTGCAATAAGTTAATTTAAGTTTTCAATATTTAAGATATACTGAAGATTCGATAATGATGATAAAAATAGTCAAAAATTAGATAACAATAGAATACCTAATACGCTAAGTAAAGAATAACCTAAAATCAATGCCGAAATAAGATTAATAGGTGACCCTTCGCAAGAATAGAATAATAAGAGTCAGGATACACAATGAACACGAAACAAAAAATAGAATCAGAGCACAAAACATATTAAGGATTCAACTATTTTCGGTTCTGAATCAACCAGTTTTTCGCGGAAACGTATCGAACTGGGCTAAGACTCTTTTATATGTATGTTCATTGTTCAGCAAAATTTTAGTTTTCCAGTTCGTACAATTAATTAGCAGTAAGTAATTCAGTTGTAGACCTCAAAAGATGAAATACCAAGAATAACCCTAGCTTATTCCAGAGGTTGTGGGGTTTCGGGTGGCGGTAGCTCAAATAAAAAGATTTGTCTATGAGATCTAAGTTTTTAATTGTTTTTATTAGTTGTAAAATACTCTCATTGTAATATTTGCAGTCTTTCTGGTAGTTATATTGTGTAAATATACATAATTTTCTAGCTTTGAAAGTAAAATAATTCAATAGACATAAATAATAAAATCAATATCGGTTGAACTTTTTACTTCAAGCAACTTTTTGATATGTCTGGAAGAGATTGCTCTTTCTATTTATTATTTCCTTTGATTTGTGAGCTCTATACATATTTTTTATCTTAAGTACGAGTGTATCTTAATGTTTCAGAACATGTTTCTCTAATTTAGGTAGGTGTCCAAATTCCAACAGGATTCTACGCTGAAAAAACTAAGTACCTCGTACATTGAGGAAGTAGCTATTGTTTTATCCAAGGCGCGTAACAGAATACAAAAAGGCCAAACATCCCGCAAGAAACGTACGAAGAATAACATAATTTGTTACAAGGATTAGTGCTCTAAGGCAACATCAACAAAAGCCCGCATAAAGGTCACAAAAACAAAAGACACGACATCAAAAAGGCTTCTTACAAATAAGTCTCATATTACCAAAAAAGTATTTAAACATATTTTTTTTTTGCAAAAATAAGTTTTCGACATCATATTGTGTTAGGAATTTAGGTCATCTCATTTAGACTTAAAGCAACTTTTTTTTAATTTTGTGAGTTGAAACGAAAATGGTATTTTTCATGCCACGATAAATAGTTTCTAATTCTGGTGGTTCATTACGAGTGACAACAGATTTGTAATCTCAGGTAGGCATCATAACTTATTTCTGCATTATTTTATAGGTATTATTATTTTGGAGTTGTCAAAAGTAATCAGTTATTTCCCGTAACTTTTCGCTACACCGTGTGGGCCGTGGGGTTTATAAAATATTTTTTCGCTGTATACACTGACGGGTTTAGACATTTCTATTTCCTATTGTGCCTGACACGCATGTGTATAATGGATATTGTGCCAGGCAGGAAGGCCAAAATGCGGGATTGTGAGTATTTAATTCGGAGGCATGTTATATTTTAGGAGGCATTCGAAAGAAACGATTTATAACAGAGGTATAACAAAAGTGTAGAATAGATAGTGCGTCGAATAAAGTTAAATAGAGTCATTTAAATAGGATCAGAAAAGTTTAGTTTTTGAGAGTCATATACGTGTGTTGTTTTTACTAATACATATATGCAATTAAAAACTACGCCGAATTACTGAGCAGGTTTTTACAAAGCTAGACATTTTTTCTTCACGAGGTTTTCATGCAAATGTCTTTTGGTTTAATGGACTATGTGGATACTACCGGATGGTTAGTTGTACGCGTGGATACGCGTACAACTAAGTCGTGAGTAAAATATAAAAACTGACGATCAATATTTCTTTTTAATCAATAACTAGCTCCAACATACAATAAAATACTTTTTAGAATTAATTCCGTTGGAGTCAATTAATCGAAATTAAGCGAATGTAAATATACTTTAAAGTCTAAAACGGTCCTACACAAATAGATTTATGGTCTTACTTACGCATGAAGCGGCAAACTTAATCAGATAACGTTTATTTAGGTTGCTAATATGAGCGAATTACAGAGTCTTAAGCAATATGATAGTGGTTTATGGAAAACGGGACAAAGACAAGACAGACAAAGAAAATACAAACTGGTTTTTGTCTCATAATCATCATCATTTCAGCCATAGGACGTCCACTGCTGAACATAGGCCTCCCCTAATGATTTCCATGTTGATCGCTTCCCTGCTACGGTTTTTGTCTGAGCATTCGCCATTCATTCAAGCCTTTAAATTCTTTAGCTCACTTCTTAGTTTAAATATTACAACAGTAAGAGAAATAATAAAGCTAAAGGCGTTTGTAAGCGCAAAAATTGAGGACAAAATAAGCATTTTTTTTAAATATTCAGCGAAATTCCTGGAAGGTTTTAATGAAGAGGCATATTGCTTGAATAATTATTAGACTGCCATAAAATTGTGAATAAAATCATCGTTACAAATCGAAATTAATAAAGTGAATAAACTCTAAGATACTTGCAGTTAATCTTGTTGAGTATAATAAAAAAAGTGACGATCAACTTGGCTAAGTCATTAAAAATATTTTTCAGGCACTGAACATAATATCCAAGACTTGTTTTTTATGTGATAGATGGCAAATGAGCAGATATGATTCTATTTGTTTACTCACTCACTCAAAAAAGTAATATTTCTCCATTTAAATAATTTGATAACAGCAAGCTGTTGAAATCGATTCTGTTAAAAACAAAAGAGAGCGAAGTTAATTCTTTTTAAAACCACACAAGCGTTCCTACACATTTTCAGCCAGTTATTAAAAACTTTAAACGAGCATAATATGATAAAAACGCTGCGATAACGATATCGTAATCTAGAAAAAGCTTGGTTAGCACGTTGTATCGATTATTATTAATAGTAATTAGAGACTTTAATCCTTTGCAGGTTCTACGCCGTATTTCCAGTTATGGCATCGAACGCAGTTAGTTTTCATAATCCCGGTATTGCTGGTGCAGTTATCGTTGTTTGTTTGTTTACCCGTTCTGTGATTTAATGAAAAGTTACATAGGGTTGCTGGTTATTAAAATGCTGGTAAGTAGCTTTTGCTTTTGTTTGCTCGTTTCACGCAGTTTTGTCGGTGTTTAGAATGAAAAGATGGTGGAGCGTTTTATTAAACAAAAATTAGGTTAAAAGTATTCTTGTAATAAATAAGTACTGTTGCCACACCACACAACACATATTACTAATAAGTTACACAAATAATTCGTAGTAAGACTAGAGAATGGCTCAACCGATTTTCGGCATTCGGCAGAGGTTTCAGAAATATTTATTTTTGGAGAAAAGTTGACTTGGATATCGACTGTCGCGTTAGTAAGTACCTTCATGAAATAATGAAGACAAATAGAAGTATCAAAGATGTTGCTGTGTAGAAAATATTATATCGATGGTAATATTATATTTGTATGAGACAGACCGGCACGTGTAGAATAAAATAGAAATAATTTCCCTTTTTTACACGAGAAAAATATAAAAATACAAATAAGTTGTAGTCTCCACCGCCTCTGTGGTCTAGTGGTAAGACCACCTGCTTCAGACGCAGAGGTCCCAGGTTCGATTCCCAGTGGGCCAGATTTTTCTGTTCGGTTTGGTTGGTGGTAGGGCTTGTTCTAAGTCCGCCTGGCTAGCTACCACCATCTTACCTAAGTCTGTCGCCATAACAATAATGTAAACAGCATTGTGTGTTCCGGCAGTTAGAGGTAAGATAGCCAGTTCCTCCGTGGTTGAGGATTCCGGGTGACGCTCGCTTCCACCTTCGGCCTGATCATCACTAACCATCAGGTGAGATACAGGCCAGGAGCTTCCTCGTCGTGGATAAAAAAAAGTGTACTAAAGTCTAAATACTGTCACATTTACAACAAACTAACTAACATAACCAACCGCTAAATTCTTAGATCTTATCTTAATAGATGAGTATCTTCATAACCCTGGTATTGCACCGCTGCACCTTAATCTTGGGAGTTAATTCCGTCTGTTAATCTTGTTCTAGCCGAGTTAATGAAAAAGCAAATTACTTCTGCCTGGTGGGGGAAATGCATAATTACAGCACGAATAACTTATTATTAAACTGGTGTGGTATTAGAACCACCTCGTCTTACTAATATAGAAATACTGCCTTCTAAGGCACAAAAAGGTTTTGACTACTTATACCTAATAAGCCCTTCTTTATTATAAACTAGCAACCCGCCCCGGCTTCGCACGGCTGCTAAGTGTACATATAAACCTTCCCCTTGAATCACTCTATCTATTAAAAAAAACCGCATTAAAATCCGTAGCGCAATTTTAAAGATCTAAGATTCTAAGCAAGCATACAATAGGGACAGACGCCGGAAAGCGACTTTATTTTATACTAAATGTGTAGTGATCTGGAGTGGAGGCCACGTCTACCCACAAGGTGGACCGACGACATTATAACGGTGTCCAAGAAACCCAATTTTCACTCAGCTTCTGTTAGCGTGGCCGGTGGATGCCTAGTTTTCTAAATTGTGTTCTATCGATCCTTTGTTATGTTTGTCAATTAAAATAATAGCCTTAAATTGAGCAATTTAATAAAG